ATGACTTGAAGATGGTAGTACAGTTCAGAGAGTACTTGAGAAATTGCTTCAAGATGAAAGACTTGGGAAAAGCTAAGTATTTTCTTGGTATTGAGATCACAAGAGGACTACAAGGGATGTTCTTGACTCAGAGGAAGTATGCTTTAGACATTGTGGCTGAGGCAGGCTTGCTTGGATGTAAAGCCGTGTCGATGCCAATGGAACAGAACCATAAGCTATTGTCAGACAAGGGACCATTTTATAAGAATCCAGAGCGGTTTCGACGGTTCGTCGGTAAACTTGTTTATCTTACCATTACGAGGCCAGAGTTGAGTTATGCAGTACACGTACTCTCACAGGTGATGCAACATCCACAAGAAGCCCACTGGGATGCAATAGTTCGAGTAATGCGGTAACTAAAAGGTTGTCCTGGACAAGGCATTATGCTGAGAGCTGTAAGTGATTTGCGTCTTCGTGTGTTATGTGATGCAGATTGGGCGGCTTGCCCAAAGTCTCGACGCTCTCTGTCCTCTTTCATCGTGCTGTTAGGTGATAGTACGTGCGAACGCACACCAATTAACCTAATGTGCACACTACCACAATCGAATGGTATGTCGAAGTAGCACTTTAGCATCGAATCCACAGAGACCAAATATTACACTTTATTTCTATAGGATCAAATTCAAGCTAAAACGATAAATGTTGTAAAGAAGCAAATCGTGAGAAACAAATAATTAAATTGGGTTTAATTTCAGGATATAAGGATGTCAACCTAGGGTATCTCATTGGGTGTTAACCATGCTGAACCAAACAATTATTCAAGCCTTTTAAATGCAGCCTAGAACTCAGATTTCTTAACTAGAACACCCTGCTCTCGCATGTGTGCTCCTTTCGCAGAGGAGCAATGGTACCTATGCTCTCGCGTGGATCAATACTCAACAGCAAACATTAAGCACAGACCTAATATACTCACATCACACCCTGATATCTAATTTCGCTGACCAGGGATGTGATGCTTGCTCTCAACAAATCTAGCAACCTAATTCAGGATTAATGATAAAATATTAAATTTGGAATCAAATACTAAGTGATCAAATCAGTATTAGCAGTAAGAACAGTAGAGAGCAAAGGCGAGAGTGGGGCTTATCTATGTTCAGTTCAATGGATCAACACCCTAGAACCTTAGGCTAATAAGATTGACTACTCAGACATAACAACAGAGAACACATAGTCAAGAGATGAAGAAGACATGAATATTATTGCAGATAAATATAAATAGGGTTCATAGGATTCTTCTCTAAATCAAGAGAGATGATCTTCTCCCTTTATAAGTATCAAAATCACAATATCCAAAAGTTCTAAGGTTTCTTCTCTCCCCAAAAGTGTTCCCTGTCTAGAAAAAAATAGAATAGAATATGTCTCCAGGCCACAGGCGGCTGAGATAAGAAAATAGAAAGATTAGGGAAAATCCCAAAATTAATTAGAAGTTTCCATAATTCAGGGAGCAAATCGGGGTTTGCTCCGCATGGGTGCTCCGCGATAGAAGGAGCAGACAGGGTTTCTCCGTTCGGGTGCTCTGCGATGGAAAACTCTGGTTTTTGCATTCTTTCTTCCATATGCTCTTTCTGGTGCATTCCAACTCGTTCTACACCTAAAATAACTCAAAACACACTAAGTATACTCCAGGAAAACTCAAAAGTAATATGCAAAGTATGTGTGTAATATGCCAAAAACACAACATATCATTAGGTAACTCTCCTATCTCCTGGAAGACAAAGAAACAGGATACAGTCTCTCACTCCTCAGCTGAAGCATAGTACAGGTCCATGGCGGTGGCACTACGTGAACTTAAGTGGCTCAAGCGACTTCTGAGAGATTTGGGAGTTGAACACTCTGCACCTATGGAGATGTTCTGTGACAGCAAGTCAGCATTGTATATCGCATCCAATCATGTGTTCCATGAGCGAACGGAACACATCGAGGCTAACTGTCACAGTGTTAGAGATGAGGTTCAAGACAAGAGTATTGTGACACGGCATGTGCGTACGACGGAGCAACTAGCAGACATCATGACTAAGTCTTTGGGGGCACCTGCGTTTCAGTATATGTTGTCCAAGTTGGGTGTTCGAAACCTCCATGCATCAACTTGAGGGGGAGTGTTAGCCGATTGTTACATCGGTTTATGGTTACATCGGTTTATGGTTACATTGGTTTATGGTTACATTGATATGTCCGGTTACATCTGTTTATGGTTACATCGAGACTTGGAGAGTAAGTTACATCGGAGATATTGTGATATTGTAACATTAATGAGTAGACATCGATAAGGAAAGATCTAATGTGTTGTGATCTCATTGTAACAAGTATATATGTAGTCTCCACATCGTGAATACAACTCAGAACATTCTCAACTTCTTCTTCCTTAGTTTACAGGTAACGAAGTAAACTCTTTATAGGAATGTGGACCATCACATAACTTGGCAAACAACTCGGTCTAATTTTATTGGGAAAAGTCAGACCTACAAGCTATGCCAAACTTGATCTGATATAATAATACACAGCTTCAAAATTCATGGACTGGTGATCAAGTATTAAACAGGAGCACACCTTGGGTATGTACACTATCTAGTTCAACATTTGACCATTATAACTGGACTGACAAAGATAATATTCGTTTAAAGATACGAGATCACACGGAGTGCTTAATATAACTACTTGATTTCTTAGACGTTTTCACAGATTCTTTAAATGTCAAACTCTACATCCTCCTAGATAACTGAGGGATTTAAAAACCAAGCTAAAGAAGCTGGACTCCATAACCCATTGTAAAAAAGAATACTAATAACTAGTTTAGTTAAGGACCGCGATCTAACTATAAGATTTTGGAGATCCTGCCGTTTTAAAACATGTCATAAACAAGGTTATCAAAACAAAGAAAAACAAGTCATAAGCAAATAAGGCTTAAGATCCTAGGCATTTCTGATTGGATATGATGTAAATAAAAGTATCGGAAAGTCAAACGAACATGACATGTTCAACATGTAATGCCCGATTAAAATCTGAGAGATTAATAGTAATTGAGGCTTTGCACAAAAAATCAGGGTTATTGGTAACCAAGTGGAACAACCGTAAGACATCAATACAATTACTAAATAACATAATGTAAAAACAGAAGCACTAGATGACAATGGAAGCTTTGGAAGATAGTGTTTTAAAGCATTACATAGTGCATTAAGGAAATTATCAAAAAAATAAAAGCATTAAATAGTGCATTAAGAAAATTATCACCAGTTGTTGGACTGAAGTCCTCAATCAACAAGATTGATTCATGTCTAAACTTTTTGTAATATATTAATGTAGTAGCCTTTTCAAAAAGAAAATCATAACCAATAATAATAATAATATAAAGAAAGATTGTGGACATACCGTTAAAAGCAAAAGACCTGAACGCAATAGGCTGTGCCTATTCATCCAATGTGTTGGTAACATCTACTTCAGTCACAAAGAAATATAGTGAATGGCCAATCTTACTTTCAATTATCTTTCTCTCTATAGCATTTTCGGTTTTGACAACATAATACATGTTACCTGCAGTTTTATAGTCTTGAAAAAACCAAGAAGTTCCATTACAAAGCTAGTAAGTTTTGTGGTTGCCCAAAAAAAAAAAAAAGCTAGTAAGTATCAAACTAAGATATTGCAAACAAAAGAATCATTACAGCATAAACAATAAAAGTAAAGTTTTTTTTTTGTCAACAAAAGTAAAGTTTTTTTTCTTTAAAGATGAAACCAAACCACCATATGTTTGTACCAAGTCATTTGTAACCAAATGGCAGAGAAATAGATCGAAGGAATCCATTTCCGAGTAGACTGATAACAAAGATAAAAAAGAAGACTGTCTTGTTGTGTAACATCAAACTTTTTTTCTTGGTGTAAATGTTAAATTTGTACATCAAACTTCATCACTTTCCCTAATCTGATATTTAACTAAACCATATATATTAGCAAGTAGTAAAAGAAAGAAAATGTTCTACGGAAGTACCTTTCAAAGAATCCTGCTTTGATTTGGTGCTATATGAAAAAAAACATTTAATAAGTCATGTAGATTTTCCTCGCGATTAGCAACCAATGATAAATGATACCTCGTAAAGCAAATGGGACTCGTTGCCTTTACCTCTAATTTAAAGATAAAGAAAGAAAAAAGGGGTATAGCTATGAGAGTGATCTTTGTCGATAAAAGTAGCCTTTAGCGAGCTTGATAGGGAGAGGCTTTGTCCTTTTGGCTTACTCTATGGACACCTTAAGTTACTACGGATGGGGTGGATTCCTGTTCTCCCTAAACATACGTGGAATTCACTTAACGGATGTATTTTCATCCGTACATTTTCAAACACCACAGAAAATCAACATAACTTTTTCAAATCCACCACTTAGTTAAACACACAAAAATAGTGAAAAGGAAAAAAGTTAAATCAAATCATGTTTAGTTTTCTATAGGACATCAGGCCAACTCCTTACTAGATGAACAAAAACCTATAAAAAAAGAACATCATAATTGTAAACTTACGAGAATCTGCTGCATGTGGCATAGCTTGATGATTTCTCAAAGGGAAGAAAGAGATATATAATATTAGAAGCCTAAGTACCAAAAGCACATAGAGATAGGGAACCTTCATAGCTGCTTCAGATAAAGGCTCATGGGTCCCTGGAAGCAATTCAGGGAGATTTCATTTGCTAAAGCCACACGGACTACCATTTGCAGCAACGGGTGTGATGGACCTCATTTCCTATAACAAAGCATATTACACTGCAACTTAATTTAATAAAATAACACACTAAAAGTCAAGGACCTTATTGTGTGCTTGATCTTCATAGCTTATTTATCAAACCATAATTAAGAAAATATTCCTCATTAAATATCTAAAATATAAACTCAAACCTTACCTTTAATTCCTAGCTCTATATAAACAAACTCCAACGGAAACCTTGAAATTAAAACCACACATCTTAAAACCAAAGTTATCATGTCAGCTTCCATGTCTGATCCCACCATGAAACAAACCAACATCTTCCAAGATATTCTTGTAAGTTCTTACTCAAGAAGATTACTACTTGATCAATCACCAAGTCCACCACCGTCCCCATATGTAGAAGATAACAACTTTGATGCAAATGTTGTTATGGTCCTATCAGTCCTCTTGTGTGCATTTCTTTGCTCACTTGGACTCAATTCTATTATTAGATGTGCCTTGATGTGCTCCAATTTAGCACCATCTGAAGCTGGTGCCAACCAAACAGAAGCTCGCTTGACCAATACAGGAGTGAAACGGAAAGCCTTGAAGAGTTTCCAGACATTAAGTTACTCTGCTGATTTGAATCTTCCTGGACTAGACACAGATTGCGTCATATGTCTCTCAGAGTTTGTATCCGAAGAGCGTGTGAAGCTGCTTCCGATATGCCACCATGGATTCCATGTCCGGTGTATAGACAAATGGCTTAGTTCACACTCATCATGTCCCACCTGCAGACACTGCCTCATCAAGACTTGCGAGAAGATTGTCGACTGTAGCCAAACAAGGTCGTTAAATCCTACTCCACCACCACAAGACAGTATCATCGTACAAATAGCACCGCTACAACCAGAAAGATGGATACGCTGTTTTAGGTGACACTAGCACCTAGAGATAGTAGCCGTTATGTTTAAAATTACTGTTTTTATAATTAATCGAGATCACAAGCGGTCTACAAGTTTAGCATTTCCACTGCAAAACTGTAAATATTACGAGAAATCTTTCCTGCATCTTGACGTGATCTTCTAAAATGTTTAAAAGTTTCACAATTGCAGGCCAATAAAAAAAAATTACATGACATGCAACCTTATATTGTAGAGCGAAAAAATATCCATATATATAAAACGGAAAAAAATTAGTTTAACCCTTATTTATCAGTTTATTACTAGACTAACTCTAATTTTATTTTAATTACTGATTTGTTTTTGATACCTATTTTGCCTTTAGTTCCTTTGTTACAAAAACTAATTTTTACGATTTTGCCACTGAACATACTTGTTTTTTCAAACTTCTTACGTAGTCACAGATTTATTTTTGACAAATTTTTTTTTAGCCACAAATTTATTTAAATTTGACAGATTTACTTTAACAAATTTGTCATATTTTGGCCAGAGACTTATTTGATTTTGACAGATTTAATGATGATTCAATAGATTTAGTTTCTTTAGCCACAAATTTATTTATTTTGATAGATTTATGTAGCATCCATAGATTTATTTTTCTTTTGGCAACAGACTTACCTTCATTCTAACAGATTTAATTAAAATTTGATAGATTTATTATATCTTTAGCCACAGATTTATTTAGTTCTAATAGGTTTAATTAGAATTTGATAGATTTATTATTTCTTTGACCACAGATTTACATCCTTCTAACAGATTTAATTATAATTTGATAGATTGATTTTTTATTTAACACAAATTTATTTAATTTTGATAAATTGCTTAGAATTAGATAAACTTATTTGTTCTTTTGACAGCAATATTAACCAAATTTGATGTAACCGTATTAACAAAGACTTGGGTTCTTGTTAAACTCTCTAGTCTCTATTCCATTTATCTCCCTCATATTGCCACAATAGCCATAGTCAAGAGCTTAGTTTTTTTAGATGAATTTTACAGATACATGTGTGATAATGCTTATGACATTCATGCATGTACCTTATTATTCTTTCCAAAGAGGTCAGTACGGACTTGATAGACCAAGATCAAGAATGGACTTATCGTTGTATACATTTTTAGCTCTTTCGAGCAAAAATAACCAAAACCCAAAACATAACGACTAAGAGTAAGACGGTGTTATCACTCAACAAAGTTTCCAATAAACGACAACCAAACCGCATTCTGCCATTTGGTGGCATAACTCGTCATCTGTATTTTTATCGTAAATATAGTTGAAAATTCATCAAAGTACATATAAACCGGACTGTCGGCGGATACACCTTTCTCCACCTCCATGGCTCCATAGACTGAACTTTTTAAAAGCAGCCTCCTGGTCAAATTTACTGCAGTAACAGTATTCTGCATCCCCTTCTTGTTATATATACACTACTAAGGAACCTTTGCCATGATCAGCCAATGAAAATCCATGTTCGAACTTCCCCTAGACCAAATTGTATCCCTGTCAAAATTCACGGCCTCAGTATTAAACACACAATAGTGGACTCCACGAACAACTAAAGCACAGCAAAATATGGTCTTAGCGACTCCCCTGTGAAAGTTATATTCAAGGTTTCTATCTTTTCTCATCAAAACTGAAGCAACCGTAAAAAAAAAACTCATAAGCACGTTATGTACCTGAACAAAGCACGTTACAATATCGCTACGGCTGATATGACAAACAAACGAGCAACCAAAAACGTTCAGTTACTTCTAGGATGAACCCTATAAGTATCTGACCAAGAGAATGAGGATTCCCAATATCACAATAGATTACCTGCCAAAACCGGTGAAGACATCTAAGCTTCTTTATATTATTTGGGGCTATAGACAACATGTAAGATCAAAACTAAAACTAACCACTGCATGAAACTCATATCAAAATTAAATACTACTGTCGATTGGTGAACAAGAACCCAGTTTACCTCATCTCATCAAGGATAAGCACCCTTATTAGATTTCAAGTTTCCTCGAAACTTCTGTAAAATGAGTTTCACTGGAACCATAAATCGATTTGGATAACAGGTGAAGAGACGGTGGTGTTGAGTTGGCTTATTTCCTGTTATTGCTTCCGTAAGTCTAGGAATAAAGAGACTTGTTCTCTATAGTTTATTTGGTCAATATCTGTTTCCGTTTATTAAGCTAGTAGTTGGAGTAGTTGAGTCATGCTTTGTTTCAGTTATTTGTTTCAGTTGTTGTAGCCTATAAAAGGCATTGAAAGCGTATGAGTAAAGTAAGATCATTTCAGTGCAATACTTGTGTCTTCTCTGAACTTACTTTAACAATTGGTATCAGAGCAAAACACAAATTAAAGTGATCAAAGAGAAAGATGAGTGAAGACAAAACTCTCACGAAGATACCACACTTTGATGGCACTACGATCATTGGAGTGAGTTGATGGAGAATCTCTTGAGAGCTAAGGGGTTATGGAGCTTGGTAGAGGAAGGTGTCACCGAACCAGCAACCGGAGTTGAGCTAACTGTTGTGCAGAAGAAGATTCTTGATGAGTTGAAGATGAAGGACCATCAGGTCAAGCACTACCTGTTCCAGGCGATTGATCGGGTTGTGTGTGAGCAGATCTTGGACCGCAAAACATCCAAGATCATCTGGGAATCCTTGAAGAAAAAGTTTGGAGGTAACGAAAGAGTGAAAAGATCGCTTCTTCAAACTTTAAGGAGAGATTTTGAAGTTCTTGTCATGAAGAATGATGAAAACATTGATGATTACTTCAAAAGGGTGATGATTGTTTCTAACAAGATGAGAAGCAACATAGAAGAGATGTCAGATTCGAAAATAGTAGAGAAGATACTTCGAACTTTGACAGAAAAGTTCACATATGTGGTTGTGTCTATTGAGGAGGCTAAGGACACAAGAAGCATGACAATTGATGAGTTACAAAGCTCTCTCTCTGTTCATGAGAAGAAGTTCAAGAAAAGCAGCCATGAAGAAGAAGATCAAGCTCTCAACGTTGGAGGGAGAGGGAGAGGATCCTATCGTGGACGAGGCAGAGGCAGAGGACGCTCCTTCAACAAAGCAACGATTGAGTGTTTCAACTGTCACAAACTTGGGCATTTTGCATTTGAATGTCCGATTGGAAAGAATGGTGCACATTTTGCTGAGGTTGATGAGAAGGAAGAGGTTCTTCTTATGGCTCATGTTGAACTTCAAGGGGCTAAAAGAGAAGATATCTGGTTTGTAGATTCTGGATGTTCAAACAACATGTGTGGTGAGAGAAACATGTTTTCAAGCTTGGACACTGCATTCACACACAATGTCAAGCTCGGAAACAATCACAAGCTGATAGTGGGTGGAAAAGGAGTGGTGAAAATAACACTCAATGGAGTGAGTTACGTGGTTAATGATGTGTATTATGTCCCTGAGCTGAAGAATAATTTGCTGAGTGTTGGGCAACTTCAAGAGAAAGGGTTGGACATGTTGTTCAAGGGAGGAGAACCAAGAGTTTGCAGCATCTTTCATCCTTCAAGAGGAAAGATAGCAGAGACAGTCATGAGTTCAAACAGGATGTTTGTTCTACGTGGGGAGACAAGCGATAAGGCAAAGGAGGAAAGATGCTTACACGTTGATATTGCAAACAAAGAGGAGCTTTGGCATCATCGATATGGACACCTTAACAACAAAGATATTCAACTCCTTCGCAGCAAAGATATGGTTACTGGTATACCAGACATTGGACAGTTGAAGGTCACATGTGAAGCATGCATTAAAGGCAAACATCACCGTGTCTCATTCCCAAAAAGAAGCAAATGGAGAGCAACCGAGAAACTGCAGCTCATTCATTCAGACCTGAGTGGACTAATCACTCCATCTTCACACAGCAAGAAGAGGTACTTGATCAGTTTTATTGATGATTTCTCAAGGAAGACGTGGATATACTTTGTGGCAGAGAAATCAGAGGCCTTTCACACTTTCAAAGAGTTTAAGGCACTTGTAGAAAAGCAATCAGGCAACTCCATTAAGTGTTTACGCACTGACAGAGGAGGGGAGTATAACTCTACCGAGTTCAAGGAGTTCTGCAAAGAACATGGGATCAAAAGACAACTTACCACTGCGTACACTCCACAGCAAAACGGAGTTGCTGAGCGCAAGAACAGGACGATCATGAATACGGTAAGAGCTGTACTGTCAGAAAAGGAAGTGCCAAAGAGTTTTTGGGCAGATGCAGTTCAATGGGCAAATAATGTTCTCAATCGATCTCCTACAACAATCTTGAAAGACATGAAACCGGAGGAAGCTTGGAGTGGATCTAAGCCTTCGGTTGAGCACTTCAGGGTTTTTGGCAGCATTGGATACGTCCACATCCCGGATGTAAAAAAAACCAAACTGGATGACAAGAGCGTGAAGTGTGTAATGATTGGATACAGTAGTGAATCAAAGACGTTCAAGTTGTTTGACCCAGTAGAGAAGAAAGCTCACATTAGTAGAGATGTGATATTTGAAGAAGAAGAAATGGAATTGGGATGATAGCTACATGAGTGAGCAAAACATGGAGCTTGAGTGGGAAGAAGAGTATGAGCTTGCTGAAAATGAAAACGTAGAGGAGGAAGAACCAGAAGAAAATGAAGGTCATAATGAGGAAGAAAATGCAGAGCAAAGTGAAGAGGAACCATCACCAGTCACTACAGAAACTACTACTGCTACTGCAACTTCAAGCAGAACGAGGAGACCACCTGCTTGGCAAGCTGATTACATTTCTGGAAGAGAATTATCTGAAGATGAAGCAAACATAGCGAACACTGGGTATGTGGCGTTTATGGTAATCACTGATCCAACGACTTTTCAAGAAGCTGTAGGACATTTGAGGTGGAAAGAAGCGACGGATGCAGAGATAGCTTCGATTGAGAAGAATCAAACTTGGTCATTGGTAACACTTCCAGATGGAGCAAAAGAAATCGGTGTCAAATGGATTTACAAAACAAAATTCAATGAGCTGGGAGAGGTTGACAAATTCAAAGCCAGACTTGTGGTGAAAGGCTACGCGCAGGAGTATGGAATTGATTACACGGAGGTATTTGCGCCTGTAGCTAGAATGGATACTGTGAGGATGATCATTGCAATGGCTGCTCAGAGAGGTTGGGGAATCTACCAGTTGGATGTGAAGTCAGCCTTCCTACATGGTGAGTTAAAAGAGGATTTTTTTGTGGAACAACCTCAAAGTTATGAAGTAACTGGGAAGGAACACATGGTTTACAAGCTGCACAAGGCCTTGTACGGACTAAAACAGGCACCACGAGCCTGGTTTAGTCGCATTGAAGCTTACTTTATCAGAGAAGGGTTTGAGAACAGATCCAGCGAACAAACCTTGTTCATCAAGCGCAAAGGAGGTAAAATTCTCATCGTCAGTATATATGTTGATGACTTGATGTTTACTGGTGATGATGAAGAGTTGTTAGTTGAGTTCAAACAGTCTATGAAAAGAGAATTTGATATGACTGATTTGGGGAGAATGAGATACTTTCTTGGTATAGAAGTAGTGCAGAAGAGGGATGGTATTTTCATTTGTCAAACGAAGTATGCAGCAGAGGTCATTGAGAGATTTGGAATACAGAATTTCAACTCTGTCTGCAATCCAATGGTTCATGGTCAGAAACTTGGTCGAGATGAAACAGGCGTGAAGGCAGATTCAACTCTGTACAAGCAAATGGTGGGGAGCTTGATGTACTTAACGGCAACCCGTCCAGACCTGATGTTTGTGGTATGCCTCATCAGTCGGTTTATGGCAAATCCTACAGAGTTGCATTTCGCTGCAGTGAAGAGAATCATGCGATATTTGAAAGGTACCATGGAGCTTGGAATCTGGTACAAAAAGGGAGGAGACACAGGGTTGGTTGGTTACACGGACAGTGACTATGCAGGAGACATAAATGATAGCAAGAGTACTTCAGGATATGTATTTTTGATGGGAGGAGGAGCTGTTGCTTGGTCATCACGAAAGCAACCCATTGTGACATTATCAATGACTGAGGCGGAGTATGTTGCAGCAGCAACTTGTGCTTGTCAAGCCATTTGGATGGGAAGAGTTCTAAAAGAGATTGGGTACGATCAAGGAGAAGAAATGGTGCTGCTATGTCATAACACTTCCACCATCAAGTTATCCAAGAATGCTGTCTTACATGGGAAATCCAAACACATCAGAGTTCGTTTCCATTTTCTAAGGGATTTGGTTAAAGAAGGAACCATTAAGCTTGAGTACAGCAACACTGAAGAGCAACTTGCTGATATCATGACCAAGCCTCTGAAGATGGCAACGTTTCAGAGAATTCAAGAAGCCTTTGGAATGTGCAAGATGAACTGATTCTTTCAGAAGGTTCAGTTCAAGGGAGGGATTGTTGAGTTGGTTATTTTCTGTTATTGCTTCCGTAAGTCTAGGAATAAAGATACTTGTTCTCTATAGTTTATTTGGTCAATATCTGTTTCCGTTTATTAAGCTAGTAGTTGGAGTAGTTGAGTCATGCTTTGTTTCAGTTATTTGTTTCAGTTGTTGTAGCCTATAAAAGGCATTGAAAGCGTATGAGTAAAGTCAGATCATTTCAGTGCAATACTTGTGTCTTCTCTGAACTTACTTTAACAGGTGGTTCTCGTTACTGGAGATTCCACAGCGGAGATAACAAGACGCCAAATCGAGCCTTGTTGGAGGAAGGGTTACAAACACTCGCCGTATAAATCAAAGCCCTCTCACCGGCGGGCTCGGATGAAAAAGATCAAACCACCGGCGACCAAATCCGACATCTTCTTAGAGGAACCCTAACTTTTGTTTTTGTGAAGGTTTGTTATTGACAAATGAAAATGAAGCTATTTTATTTTTATTTAGGTTTTTTATTTTGCTAATGAATTAAATTGATAATGATAATATTGTAGTAAAAAAAACTGTTGGGGGTATTTGGTCTTTATCTATCTTTAATAAGATATGTTGATTACATAAAGTTAAACTAGTAAGTAACTAAAAGATTAGAGTTGATCTAGGTAATTTTCTCTGTATAAAAAGAGTTATTCTTGGGTTCACCCTCCTATGGTGAACCTCTAGGTTTATGGGTTTACTCAATCTCTAGGTTCACCAACCAATAGAATTGTGTTATTTCATATTTGATATCTTCTTAAAAATGGAATAAAATCTTGTTATGTTATATTATGTTTTTTACATAAAAATACAAAAATATATAAAAATAATAATATTTACAAAAAACAAAAAAAATTCTTTAAGAAAAATATTTTAACACTAAAACACTAAACCCTAAACCCTAATCATAAACCCTAAACCATAATCCTAAATCCTAAACCCTTGGGTAGTTCATAAACCCTTTGGAAAAATCTTAAACATTAAATCAAAAAAATTAATACTAACCAATTATCACTACAAGAAAACAGGTCGTTTCCGACTACAAAATGAGTCGGTAATCAGTCGCTAAATGGGTTTACCTACTGATTTACGACTGATTAGAGTAGTCGTAAAACACCTAGTCGCTAAATCATTTAGTCGGAAAACAGTCGGCATTTACCGACTGCGTTGCTACTATTTTGGTAGTCGTAATTTCAGTCGTTAATTAGTAGGCAATTATCGACTGACTTACGACTCATGTAGTGACTATATTACGATGGTATTCTAACTGATTTAACGACTGAATTTAACGACTGCTTTAACGACTGCGTTAACGACTAAATCCCGTAGTAGAATAACAGTCGGTATATTTCTGCGACCAAATCACGACTGATTAGTGACTACATTGCTTAAATTTTATGACTGATTTTGTGACTGATATGTGACTGTCCTACCATATTTTTGATTGTTAAATACATTATTTTGGTGTTTTTTTTATTGTTCATAATTTGTTATTTAAATCTGCTAATAATAATAATAATTGATATTAATAACTACTAAAAACGATTTTGAAATCATAAAATGATCTAGACATGTACCAAAAGAACTCCAAGACTTAGGAGTTTTCAAATTTCAAACATCCAAAAGAATTCCAACACATAAGGAGTTTACAAGTTTTACACATATCCAAAAGACAGAGTTCAAGTGAAAGGTAAAAGGAAGACCTAAACATGATGGGAATCAGATGAAGCTGTTTCTTTGGAGACGAAGTCCAAGAATCTCTGGTATGTGGTGCTCAAGAACTTCTTAACTATTGAGAACTCTTGAATTGTAGCCTGCTGAGTAGCTATAACTCCAGAACGCTCTTCCTCAACCTCTGCTGCAGCAGCAGCAGCTTGGGAACGCTCTTCCTCAGCCTTTGCAAGAAGAGCAGCTTGCTCTATTATTTGGCGTTGAGCTTCTTCAAGTTGCCGTTGCAATTGCATGAAGGAGGACAAGCTTCTTGGGTCATATGGCAGTTCAGTAAGCTGGTTCTTCAAGCTTCCAAGACCATAAATTTGTCCCCTGTCATTGGTGAAAGTGGCCTACAAAAAGAACAAGTATCAGACTATCAACGACAAGCAAAAACAACCAAAAATATAAGACATAGACTTTAACCAAAAATATAAGACATATACTTTTAAAGTAAGAGACCCAACCTGAATAAACAGCTCATTCATCTTCTATTGATAGTGGTGGATGCTGCCTGTCTGAGGTCTCGGTTTGATCAGTCTGAAGGCTCACCAACTTAGCTTTTTTTTTCTTCTTGAAAGCCTCAGCAACTTGTTCAGCTTTGAAATCACTGAAGGTTCCATCTGATTTTGTATGAGCTCTGATGAATACTTCACCAAAGCTCACTGGTCTTCCCAGTTCAACAACCTCAAGTGAAATGGAAGAAAATATCAGAATAATTGAAAAACCAAACATACTTATCAGACTGAACCACTAAGAAGTAGGGACTTACCATCTCTTGTTGTATCTGCATATAAGACTTCGGGCCAGAGTTATGTGTGTAAACACCAAGGCCTTGACGTTCAGATAGTCTAGCTGTTGATGCTATCAAGCTCTTTGCAACCGCAGCATCAGTGTCCCAATAGTCAGTCATTGTTTTCTAGAGTGTGTCGTGTATCCAAGTAGGTTGCTCTCGAGAAGTCCTTACTTTGCTGACCATGTCTTTCATTCGTAATAGAGCAATTTCCTCAAAATGTTCTTGAACAACACCAGTCAATGATGGATGCCATGTGTGAGTTTTCTACAAATGAACATAGAAGATATCAGTTAGCCATCAAAAACCAAAGAATTAAAAAAACAGAGTTGCTTAATAATTATACAACTCAAAGACAAGAATAGACAGAGAAACTTACAGCAAATTCCAGAAAGTAACGTTCTTGTCTGTCTCTAGGCACACGAGTCCAGCTGTAGAAAGGCTTATTAAACTTGTTCTTTAAAATCTTGGTAATCTTCCTAGTCAAATTTGACTTGTCATAACCAACCCTACAAACAAATAATTATCATCAGTACAAAATAAAATTATTTCCAAACCTACAAACATATATTAGAGAAACTATTACTATTACTATTAAAAAAAATTGGTGTTTCACAGACACAACATTTTTAGAGAAACTATTACTATTACTATTAAAATCAAATACAAATTTAAATTAAAAAAGATTGGTGTTTCACAGACACAGCATTTTTAAACTCAACTATTACTATTAAATTACAATTTGATTTAATTAACTACAAATCAGTACATCACACAACAAAGCTAATAATGTAATCCTAATCACAATTGTAGGAAAGAAAGACAAATTACCATGTGGTTCCAGGCTCCAGGTTGGGAGACAGAACAGTTATATTCAGGTTCCTCGCTCGAACTGGCTGGTTTAGGTAGGAGTTCAAAAGTTCCAAATGGTCAGAGGCGAGATTAGGTTCAACCTCTGGAGCCTCTACGTCAGACATATCCTCCTCCTCTTCTGGGATATGAGAATTTTTTGCTTCAAAACTGTGGGGAGATTGAGAAGCTCGAACTGGAGGCGATTGAGAAGCTCGAACTGGAGGCGCTTGAGATACTAGGGCTGGAGGCGATTGAGAAGCTCGAACTGGAGGCGCTTGAGATACTAGGGCTGGAGAAGAGTGGGATACTCGAGCTCGAGGCACTTGAGATGCTCGATCTGGAGGCACTTGAGATGGTGGACGGGGGTTGATATTTTCAGTCGATTGAGTTTGTCGCTGTTGAGGCTGTTGAGGTTTAGATGTACTACCATCAGCTGGAGTGAGAGGAGACTGAGCGAAGGTCGTCGTCGGAAACAGATTCCTCGGAGGTGGATAATCGCGAACGGAGGGGAGATTATTACTCCTAGAAAGAACCGGTGGGATGGACTGAGATGCATCCGTCGGTATGAAGTCATACTGCCGTGGTAAAGAAGATGGTCGTTTTGCAACCCTAGAGGTAGTAGGTTTGAGGTTTTGTCGCTTCTTCTTTCCAGTCATCGTCGGAGAGAACGGGAGTTGAAGATTGGTGGGAGAGATCGACACTGGTGGGAGAGATTGACACTGGTGGGAGAGAGCTGTCGAGAGAGATTAGGGAGAGAGCCGTCGAGAGAGAGATTAGGGAGAGAGCCGTCGAGAGAGAGATTAGGGATTAGGTTTTTTTTTTTTGGTCAAAGGGATTAGGGTTTTCTCAGATATTAGATAGATTAGTACTGTTGGGCCTAAATTATAATTGGGTTTCGCGGGTTTAGGGGCTAAAAGTTAGAATAATTTGGGCAAAACTGAAAATTTTCGCGGTTTAATCTTTTTTGGAGGTAAACCCGAAAATTTTGTTAACAGTCGGTAATTAGTTGGATTTCAGTCGGTAACTAGTAGGATTTCAGTCGGTAAAAAACTCAAACTCTAATCCCTAAACCCAAACCCTAAACTTTTAAATCTAAATAACATAATATTACAAACATAGTGTATTACACATGACAAATAAAGTTTACAAAATATATGAAACATAATACTACATATGGTAACCAAAATTTCGAACATCATGTCGCAAGATAATACTACACATAAAATTAATTAAGAAACTTAGTACGGTTCTTCTTCATCTTCATCATCTTCGTCTGAAGACGATAAATTACATCGGAATTCATCCTCTGGTTCTGCATCTCCCACATCGAAATCAATATTTATCGGTTCTACTCGAGGGAGTACCAAATGCTCGACTTCAAGGTCCTCAACTGTGGTCATCAAAACAGCAGAATCTTTTTCTTGTTGCAACGTCGCCGGATCTTTGTCTTCATATTCTCCAGAAATGATTTTCCTCGGATTAACGTTTAGAACATTCATTGCTTTGGTTTCCTTACATAAGGGTATGGATTATAACAAACCTGATGTGCTTGAGATGCTGTGAAAAAAAAATATAATTAATAAAGTTAAATATAAATATTATGCATATATATATATATATATATATATATATATATATACATATATTAACATACCTAGAATAAATGGATCATATTTGTAGTATTTTCTTGATGAAAGAACATCCACGATTCCACCATTGCTCCGCCGTGTGCCTCTACCAATAAGAGGATCATACCACTTACACTTAAAAAGTGTGATTTTTAAATCAACCATCCCCTCGTACTCGATTTGTATGATATCTGTTAAGATCCCGTAGTAATGAGACTCTTCAGCTGCATTTGTATAACTCTCTCCTTTAACGCATACTCCATAGTTACAAGTCTTTCGTCCCTCGCCATGCTTTTGAGTATGGAATAGAAAAACTCTAGTGAAATAAATTGGCCAGGTTTTGGCCTTATTCATGGGTCCGTGTACAATGTCTTGAACCCAAGGAGGAAAAGGATGTTGTTTGCTCCAATAAGTAACCTGCACATTTATATATACAAGATTGAAATTATGTACGATACATGAATTAAATATTATAATAGTATTATGGTGACATACATAATATTTCATCCATGTATGATATTCATCATCTCTTTTCACGGAGAGTTCTTTTTCGGAAAGGTCTGGATATTTTGCAGAAAGAAAATCTTTGAACATCCTATATTAGAGCAACAAGATTAAAATAAGAGAAATCAAAGTATGATATATATATCAATATATATATATATATATAAACTGAAGGCATTTATTTGTCATATTATACCTCTCAAGTGGTTGAAAATAATCACAATTACGCAAAACATAAGCATGTGCGCGTAGATAATCTTTCTCGGAAAGCCAAATTTCCTGTATTTCTCCGCTTGGACGACCTACTTGAGTAAATATATCAGGTACTCCTTCGACATGATAAACATGGACTTCACCTTCCTCAAATCTTGTAAACCTACCCATATAAGGACAAGAAATCCACATTTTAGAAGAAAGCATGTAAATACACATGAAAAGATGAATATATGACTAATTATAACATTTACCTCGATTTCGTTTGTATATGACTAATTATAACATTTACCTACCCATATAAGGACAAGAAATCCACATTTTAGAAGAAAGTTTGTATAACATTTATCCTCAAAGTAGTGCTCTGAGAAATAAGCTATCTCGTTATTGATATATGCTTCAACTATCGATCCTGCCGCATACCTTTTGTTCTTTGCATTGGCTTTCAACTTTTTGAAATTTCTTTCATAAAGATACATCCACCTATATTGCACCGGGCCTCCTAGTTCAGCTTCATAAGGGAGATGTATAGTCAAGTGCTCCATCACGTCAAAAAATGAAAGTGGAGAGATCTTTTCCAAATTGCAGAGTATCAAAACAATGTTCTTCTTAAGTATTTTTACGCGATCTTTTTGCAAAGTCCTCGAGCAAAGGTCACGAAAAAATAAACCAACCGCTGCAATAAATATTCAAATTTTAGATTATTACTAACACAAGTTATAAACACATAGAGTTGTAATATATCATAAAAATATAACTAATTAATGAGTACCTGATAACGCAAGATGGACGTTCTCGTCTAGGAGTTCTGCAAATATAAATGGAAGTAGCCTCTCCATAAACACATGGCAGTCATGACTCTTCATGCCTGAAAACTTGTCTTTCTCTATATCGGCACAGTTAGCTAAGTCTGATGCATAACCGTCTGGGAATTTTACCGCTTTTTCACACATTCCAATAAAAATTTTCTTCCTTTCTCGTCCAGTGCGTAGGGAGGAAAAGGAGCTTGACCATGACTATCAACATGTAAGTGTTGCCGATCATAGAAAAGTTCTATATCCAATCTTGACTTGATTGTATCTTTCGACTTACTCTTCACATTCATAACCGTATTCATGATGTTGTCAAAAAAATTCTTGTCAATATGCATAACATCAAGATTATGTAGAAGATTGAGGTCCCTCCAGTACGGAAGCTCCCAGGATATGCTTTCCTTGTGCCAATTGTGATTCTTCCCATAGCCAGGTTTCTTCTTCTTGTGGCCATTTCCGCCACACTTGGACGTTTTTGGTGGATTGACACCTTTTAACCGCTCAGAATAAACTTGTTCACCAGTCAAAGACTCGGGTGGAAAATCATTCATAGCGTGTTTTCCCTTCAAGAAGTCTTTTTTGTTCTTCCTCAGTGGATGGTCATGAGGAAGAAATCTCCGATGACAATCAAACCAACATGTCTTCCTTCCATTAGACATATAAAAAGCCTTTGTATCTTCCATGCAAATTGGACAAGACAACTTACCATGAGTCGTCCATCCTGATAACATGCCATATGTCGGAAAGTCGCTTATCGTCCACAAAAGCACGGCTTTAAGATTAAAATTTTGATTCAAGGAAACGTCGTATGCTTCAACTCCAGTAGACCACAACTCTTTTAACTCTGCAATTAGAGGTTTGAGGAAGATATCTAGACTTGCTCGCGGGTGATTTGGCCCAGAAATCAAAATTGTGAGAAACAAGTACTCTGTATCCATGCACATGCCAGGGGGTAGATTATATGGAGTCAAGATCATTGGCCACAACGAATGATTATTAGACATCCCAAATGGATTGAATCCATCTGTACAGAAGCCGAGATAAACATTACGAGGTTCCTCCGCAAACCGGGGATGTTGATCTTGAAAGTGTTTCCACTCTGCCGCATCTGACGGATGACACATTTCACCCTCCTTTGTTTGGTGCTCCGCATGCCATCTCATCGCTGCTGCTGTCTTTTTGCTCTGATACATTCTCTTCAATCTGTCAGCAATAGGTAAATACCACATATGACTATATGGCACTTTGGTTCTACGACGTTCGCTTCTAGGCTTCCATCTTGGTGCATCACAAAACTGGCACTTATCCCACCTTTCATCCTCTTTCCAGAAGATCATACAATTATTAACACACACATCAATTTATAGTATGGGAGGCCTAAATTACGCATCAACCTTTTGTCTCGTAATGTGAACCGGTTGGTTGGTTTCCAGCTGGTAAATAGTCTGTCAACATTTCGCATACCGAATCCACACACTTTTCACTCAGATTATAATCTGCCTTATTTTGCATAAACCTAGAAGCTAATGATAACTGCGAGTGACCTTCTCGACAGCCATCATATAAAGGATTTTTCGCTCCTTCTAACAAGTTGTAGAACTTCTTAGAATGGTTGTATTCCGGATCTACCATATTTTGATAACCATCACGATGTTGATAGTTTTCAAAACTCACATTATCACGAAATGCATCATTCACCATTTCCACATATCTATCTTCTACGACATTACCAACTTCTTCACTACCACTAAAATGCGTTTGATCAATGTAACTTGTTCCTAAGTCCATGTCAAGTTCTTCTCCATGCTTGTACCACACATAATAGTCGAGCATAAACCATTTACTATATATATGTTTCAAAATTCGTTGTGCCGAGAGAAATTTTCGTTTTTGCAAACACTGCAAGGGCAAAAGAACTTACCCTGATTACTTTGTGCTAGAGGCTGGCTATTTGCAAATGTCATGAATTGCTCTACTCCCGCTACGAATTCATCCGAGAAGTTCCCGGTTTCTTCATTGATCCTATTGTACATCCAATCTCGAGAATTAGTGTTGTTGTAATTGTCTCCCATTATATGACCGAACGTTTTTTTTTCTATAAGTTTTCTTTCTTACGCTTGAGACGATATATAAAATGTCTCGGTGCTGATATATATAATGAAGATTTGCCCACTGTTTTCCTACGACTTTCCGACTGCTGTTTCCGACTAATTTGTTTAGTCGCTAAAAATTGTTAAACCTACCTAGCAACGCCATTCACGTGTTTTGTATCGGTTTTTAACGACTGAAATACGACCATTTAACCTAAAATATTTCAGTGACTAAACAGTCCTAATTTAGCGACTGATGAACGACTGATATTTACGGACTACATACTAGTCGCAAGTCAATTGCTAATATATGACTACATTGCTACTATTTACTTTAGTCGGTATTTGCCGACTGATTACTAACTGTTTTATTATGGTCGCACAGAAGTCACTGGCTAGTCGGGAATCAGTCGGTTAATTTAGCGACTGCATATACAGTCGGTAAAGTCAGTCGGTAAAAACGTGTTTTCCTGTAGTGTATACTGCTTTTTTTATCTTTTTTTATTTAAAAACTTAATATAATTTAAGAATTTTTGTTTTCATATAAAAGATTTATTAAATGAATTTTTTAAATTGTTTTTTGCAATTATTACTGTTTTTATTTTATTTTTATCTTTTTATTTTAAAAACTTAATATAATGTTAAAAAAATATTCAAGAATTTTTTTTGTTTTTAAAAATATTATTATTTTCTATTTAGTTTTTTTTTTATTTTTATTTAAAAACATAATATAACTTAACAAGATTTTTTTTTAAAAGAAAATATCAAATATAAATAACAATATCCTATTAGTTGGTGAATTTAGAGGACCACACTAGAAGGTAAACCGAATAATAAGAAAACAGATGCCCAAACGTGCAGGTTGGTGAAAGGGTGAATCACTTAAACAAATTGTTGAGCGAAGGTGGCCAATACGCTAGGTCAACTAAGAGAATGTGTCTCAAATCTTTTGGGATTAAGAAGTTTTAAGGCTATTAAAGGAAGGCTCTGCCCTAGCTTACACTTTTTAATGATTATCATACTAGGTGTTTTGCCGCGGGAATAATTTTCGTACAGTTTATTATTAGTTTGTATTTTATTAATTCAAATCAATATAATAAATTATGATTTATGTTTTACAATTAATTATAAATGACAACACTCACATAACAAAATATTTTTAAAAATACATTTTTACAAAGGTGTTGCTTTAATTTATTTTAATTATAATTTTTTTCTATCTTAATTTTTTATTTCTATTATAAAAATATATTTTCAAGATAACAATATAATACATAAGAAGTATCTTATTTTCTCAAAATATAGTTTTTTATAGAAATTCATTTTTATTCTATAATAAATTTTATATGAAATTATTAAATTTGAAAATAATCAAATTATCTAAATCATCAAGAAATTACAAATCATATAATTCACTTAAATTTTCTAATAAAAAATATATGTTCAAGATAACAATCTAATACATAAGAATTATCTTATTTTTGTAAATCTATTATTATTAGTATACATTCTTTTGTTTATTTAATAAATTATATATGAGATTATTAAAATATGATAACTAAGCAAAATATAAAACCATAGAGAAGTTGATAAATCAGCATTGCTTTCTTTATATTTAACTATTAATATTTAAATTAATTTTTAATTTCTATGATAAAAATATATTTTAAAGATAACAATATAATACATAAGAATTATCTTATTTTCAAAAAGTATAATACTATTAATATAAATTCGTTTTATTATATGATAAATTATTCATAAAATTATTAAAAATATAACAAATAAGCAAAAGCATGGAGATGTTACAAATCAATCACTAAATTCACTTGAATTTTATAATAAAAAAATATTTTTAAGATAACAATTTAATACAAAATAATTAACATATTTTCAAAAATATAATATTATTAATATAAATTCGTTTTTATTAAATAATAAATTGTATATGTTGGTAAATATTGACAACTAAGCAAATTTAATTCTTATATGTTGGTAAATATTGAGGAAAATACAACTATAAGAGAGCTAGCTTTTGATCCGGGCGCCCAAACATATGTTGGTAAATATTGAGGAAAATATATGGCTAAATATTAAATGTACTTCCTCTTTAATAGTTTAAATGTCAACAACAAAAAGACAGAAAAACAAGCTAGTAACATGTCAACACTACTATGAGTATAGACAGGGTATTTTCTAAAAGTCGCCATGTAAAATAATATTCCAGCAGCTGCAGCGTTTAAACAACCAGACACCATCAATATTGTCCGGCCATTCTCCTTGTAAATCTCTACGACCCCAATACCGATTCTGATTCCTACAGGTGTTGTGAGGGAAATTAATATGACCATAATCAAAATTTTCTTCAGCTCAAACTTTGCTTTTGAGATGCAATGTCCAAGACGAATCCCTCCAAGCAATTGATGGACAGATATTGCACCTATAAAAGGCTTAATGATGCTAACATTTAAAGATGCTCCTAATGCTATTCCTACAATTATTGAACGTACCACAATCCCTGAATCCAATATATGAGTTACGAGCCTATGTATAATATTATTGTGATCATGTTGCCTTGGATCACTGTTCATGTTTTGTTCAACTTTATCTTCAAAGGCTTTACACTTCTATCTCTTCATCCTGAAAGATAAAGCGAAGGACTCAATCAGGGTTAGGATCACAGCAGACATGGCTACAACTCTAACCATTGGGAAATCACTCCAAGATGGCTCATCTCCGAGGCAAGAACTAGTGCAGCTCTCTATGGCACCAGGAAGAATGAGGAGGGCAGAGGGGAATTAAGGCGATTACACATGTAGGGTATGGGCTAAGTACGAACAAAATTTCAACTAGATCGAGGCCAAAGATCGGTGAACAAACACCAAAAACTCCGACGATCAATGTAGAGAAGATAGCTACGATCTTATACGTAAGAGTCGTTGCTGAATTCACAACAACAGAGCAACCACTATCGTTTTCTTCATCCTCTTCCGCCGAGACTAAACGAGGAAGAACAAGAAAGTAGATAACCAAAGCCAAAAGAAGGGTGTTTCCCAGTTTACTCATCTCTGTTTCGGCTACGATGGAAACTAGGGTTTGAACTTTTTGTATCTGGGATGTCAAGAATTAGAGTGTCTAGCTTTGTAAACATGACGTCAACAATTCATCCTTTATATATAAAAGGACAAGTCACCTAACCTATCAAATTCTTACACATAGCATATTTAGGGTGCGATTGGGGTTAAGACTTTCAAAGGCTTTAGAAGGTTCGACAGCCTTAACAGCTTTTTTTTTTCAATCAAACTTCTTTTAACAATAATCTCCCTAAAGTTCTCAAAGTCAAGATTCATTTCTTTCTCTTCCTTTTCCTTGTTTTTTCTAAAGTCACGTAAACAAGACTTTGAACACAAAATATATTTTTTCTTTTTTAAAAAATGATTTTTTTTCTCCCATCAAACATTATAATCTTTATATAAATCTATATTAATTATATTATGAAAAACTTTCTGTGAATCAATCATCTACCTTTTTTCCTTGTTATTTTAAGATCCATATTTCCTAACATTTTTTTCAAAATCTATAATTTATATCAAGATATTTTATTTTAAAAAACATTATTTACTTATATTAAAATTTTGATAAATTTATAATCTAATGCATACATAAAAGTATCATTAAAAATAAAAATTAATGAAATAACATAAATCTTATTTTTAAAAACAATTCTTCATATATAAAATAACAAATTTCATTTTTCTAACTTTTACTACAGCCACAGTTCTTAAAGCCAAAATTTCTACAGCAAAAAAATCTAAAACCAGAGCCTAAAGCAATAGTTTTTACCAATCGGAGCCTTAAAAGAAAAAAAAATTGAAAATGCATATTACTCATATCTCAATTTTTATCCACAACTTCAAGGCTGTGATTGGTATTTAATGGTGGAAAAGTGGGAAAAAAAAAGGTGGGATATGGAAGAACAATAAAAACATAATTCAGCAGAATATTTTCTTCTGATTATTGTGAAATAACAAATTACCATACTTTTCCTCTCTTGGCGTAAATAGGATGAATACACATTTTACCTTTTTGGACAAAAAAATAGTAACTCAGCAGAAATATTTTTTATTCTACTTTTATATCGCTAATTGTGCTTTTCAGTCATACTCCAAATAAAATTGGATTGGCTGCCTAAAATCTCCTATAGACTCACACACCCTATATATCCCCCCCCCCCCAAAAAAAAAACTTCTTAGCTCTTTACCAAACTCACACACCCTATATATCCTCCCCCCAAACTTCTTAGCTCTTTACCAATACATTAAAAATATGAATTCTCTTAATAAACCCCCCCCCCCAAACTTTTTTAATCTCCCTTCCTAATCAATTTCAAAATCAAAATTAGAGAACTACTAATTGCATTTTCAGAATGCGATTGCCCATTAAGAAAACCGACCTTGAATTAAAAAAAAAAAAACCCGAGTTCATTAGAAAATGAAATTAGGGATAAGTTGAAATTAGGGTTTCAACTTTATTGTACAGAAGAACAGACGACGAAGAACACACAGAGAAAGAGGACGGGGAACATCGGGGAACATAGAGAGAGAGAGAGAGAGAGAGAGAGAGAGAGAGAGAGAGAGAGAGAGAGAGAGAAAGAGAGGGAGGGAGAGAGAGACGGAGAGAGTGAGTGAGAGAGAGAGAGAGAGAATCGATCATGAACAATTCAGCCTTATCTTCTTCGCGACAAGCAATGGAAGGCGCCTTATCTTCTTCGTGACAAGCAATGGAAGGCGTGAGATTGCATTTCAGGTATGAGATTGTATCTTGTATCGCCATTGTATCTTGTAATTTTTACTGCTTCCAAAGAGAGAATCATGTTGTTTGTGTTTGATAATAGAAAAGATGGAGAGGCGTCTTTTCAAATGGGTCGATGAAGCAATGATAGATATGATAGGGAAGGTGGATGCAAAACATGATGAACTTGTGAATGATGTGAAGGACCTGCAATGGAGTATGATGTAGCGCTTTAAGCTTCAAGAAACAAGACTTTAGAAGGTGGAAGAAGAAGCTATGAGAATTAAGATAAATGAAGAGATGATTGAAAGCTATGATAGAATATGGTTCTTTGGAGAGGGGTCTAGTAACTGAGATGATCATGCTCTTTGTGTAATGAATATCTCTTATGTTTTTAGACTTATTAAGACTCTTATCTTATCTTTTCAGTGTCGAGATTATGGTCTTTATGTGTTTCAGTAACTGAGATAATTTTCGAGATTATGGTCTTTATGTGTTTCACTAACTGAGATTATCATGTTCGTTATGCTTGGTTATGCTTGAGTTTAAAACATGAGTTTGACTTGTTGGTGACATTTTAAAAGAAATTCATCTCCTTCCCGAAGCAAAGTTATTTGGACGCAGCCGGAAGCTGTATTGTCGTTCTCAGCTCCATGCTCAAGGTTCAGATACAAACACTTTTCTCCATTATTGGTTCAGACTTTTTCAGGTATAAGGATGATCATCTTCCCACTGTTTTCCTTTTCAATTTCAGTTTATATTTTATTTGCATCTTTTACTCTATCATTTGGAAACAAAATGTCTCTTTTGAAGGAGAAAAAAGATGAATAATAAAAATGTATATAGGAGGAATAAACAGTTTGAAATCGTGAACCAAAAACTTGACGACGTGGATTAGATTGGCTGTCTAAAATTCTCTGTAAATTGACACACCCCACTTATTATATAATAAATACTCTCTGGTTTTGTTTTAAATATTTCACATTGAAGATAGCACTTGCATCAGAGTTTACATCTTCTAATAGATAGAGAAATAAATAAAAAATCATCAGCAAATAAAGTATAGTCATTTCTTTTATCAGCAGCATATTTACACATATTTTGTGGCTTCTCTTATGGATTTAGGTTTCAGGTTTCTAAATCACTATAGGGATAAAGGAAAATTGGAGTGAATATCTGAGAATAAAGTTTAAGAAAGTATATGAGGAGAAAATATCAATCTGTGAAAAGAGATGTAAGATATGAGAAGTGAAAGAACTCTCGGATATGAATTTAGTTGATCAGATTTCGGATATATGCCATACCGACCCAAACACCCATGATACCAAAACAAAGATCTAACGGTTACTTAGCAAGATTCAAACCTGACCCATATCACTTTTATCGGATCAAATTTGGGTTATCGGATTCGATTTATTTTGGGTTTAATAGATCATGTGAAAACCGATTGCACCCAAAAATCTTTTGGGTTCTGTTCTACAACGGGTTTAAGTAACATGAAAAAAACGTTTTTACTCTAAATATACTCACTTAATCTGAATGAATTACTTTAAGACTTTATCGATAAAAGTCATTAAACTAATAAACCCAAAAAAAAATTGACATATTTCTTCTTGATATTCTTATCAAGTACATAAAAGAGTTAACAACTACATGTGAATGAACCCTGATGTCACTTAAAGAGGAGATTACTAGAATCAACGATTTTGTGCTCTTTTGAGGAATAAAATAGATTAAATTATCAATTTAGGTTGCAGATTTTCTAAATCCCTATAGGGATAAAGAAAAATTGGAATGGATATCTGAGAATACAATATTACAATCTATGAAAAGAGATGTAGGATATGGTCTATAAGATATGAAGGGTGTATGAACTCAAAATATAAATATACTCGATCAGATTTCTGATATACTAGGGTTTGGCCAGCCCTACGGCGGATTAGTTATTGAAAAATATATAATATATTATCAACTTTATTAAATATTTTAAAATTATTAGTTTACTCTAAATTGAAAATAATCTCTACTTCAATATGTACGATTTGCTGTTTTTTTATTACAAGAAAAGCTTACAACTATAATACAAAATATTACAATTATACATGTATTTCAAATTCTACAAATAACAAATATATATTTCTACATATTATCTATGGAAATTTTCTCAAATAGAACTTTTTAATTTGTATCCCAAAATAGACCTCAAAAACTAAAATGACCAAAATAACATTTTTTATTTTGAAAATTTTAAGTTTTTTTTTTTAATTTGAAATCCTATCCCCAAAACCTCAGTCCTCAACTCTAAAAAAAAAGATTAGTTAACCCAAGGAAAATAAATGTATATTTACTTATTTTTGATAAAACATTTAAGTCTATTTTGATCATTTTATTTTTAAGGTATATATTTGTGACAAAAACTTTTTAGATTTACCCTAGAGAATTTCTCTATTATCTATTTTGGGTAACACTAATATTTTTGAAATGATGCTTGTTATATTACTAGTATGCTTTTTAGCATATCTTTTGAATTATTTTGTTAAAACTTGAAATGTATATTTACTTATTTTTGAAAATTTTAAGTTTTTTTTTTTAATTTGAAATCCTATCCCCAAAACCTCAGTCCTCAACTCTAAACAAAAAAAAAGATTAGTTGACCCAAGGAGAATAAATGTATATTTACTTATTTTTGATAAAACATTTAAGTCTATTTTGATCATTTTATTTTTAAGGTATATATTTGTGACAAAAACTTTTTAGATTTACCCTAGAGAATTTCTCTATTATCTATTTTGGGTAACACTAATATTTTTGAAATGATGCTTGTTATATTTCTAGTATGCTTTTTAGCATATCTTTTGAATTATTTTGTTGAAAACTTGAAATGTTGACAAATACCCAATAATATAATCTTTTCACGTTTTAAGTAGTTTGTCGACTGGAACGATACGTCTGATCACCTCTTATCCAACCACTTCGTTAAGCACTAGTTAGCCACATCCTCCTCCAACAGATAGAGGTTACATTTTAGCTTCTGATTGTTTTCTATTTTGTTATATTATAATCTTTTTATCTATGTTTATTAATTATTCTCTTTCGACGCTTAACTTTTATTGCGTATGATATAATTTTAATTGTTTTTTTGGAAATATAAAATATACTACATTTGAAACTTTGGTAATTACAAAAAGATATTTCCATATTTTAAAATTATAATATATTGAAAGTTTAAAAAGGTATTACAATCTAAATAATGAATGCTAAAATGATATTTTCAACAAATAAGATATTTTAATTATTAAAAGTGTAACATATTTGAGTGTTGAAAATGAGTATTATAACATAGACACTGAATGCACAAAAGATATTTTCAAACCTAAGTTATATTATATGGTATAGAGTGGGATTAAATATGGTCTTATAAACATACATGTAACTACTAATCTTTTGGTAATGTAGGATGAAGCATGATACAATAATAAACATGGACCACAGATTTTATTTATCACAGAGTCGTCACATTTCCAAAATGTTATAAGAATATTATTTTAGCCTGAAACGATCAAATGACGCTATTTAATTGCGAGAGAATGGAATGAGTAGTTGGTTCGACATAAATGCAAAGATTAAGAGATTTAATATGAAAACATGTGATGTTACAGGAGTGGTGGCCGGAAAGCTCAAGAGTCAAAGAGTGATGGAACAAGAGATAAGTTCCTTTCTGTTGGTAACCGTGTGAAATTCTAGGAAAAAAATGAATCAGAAATGAATTTAGAGTAATGGTCCACAAAAAAAACTTAAATAAATTTTGATTTACATAAAAAAAACAGGTGTCATAATTTTAGATACTCAGCATAACGATGAAGTGGCTTCATGAGAATAGAGTAACTTCTTCTTTATATATATCAATAGATAGATAGATAGATTAATACCATTCCAACCCAAACACCCATGATACCAAAGTAAAGATCCAATCGGGTTACCGGATTCGGTTTATTTGTCCACATCTAATTATTATAAAATTGATATTAATTCAGTTTAATTTAAAATGAAAAGAAATAAAAAATAATATGGTAGCTAATGTTCCCTCATTCACTAAACCCGTGTAGATTTCAAAATCACGGATGAAGAAGAAGAAACAAATAGATGTCAAGTGCGTTCCGAAAAAAAAAATATCAATGGAATTAAGGTGACAAAAGTTTGAGTTGGGCTCTTTATGGGCTTGGATATTAGGCCCTGGCAACAAAGAGGAACACAAATAACTTCAGACTAAATAAGTTGAGGTTTACAAAACAAGATTCTGACTTGTGAGATCATTCTGGAAACCTAAAGAAATCAGCCAGCCGCAGCCGGAGAAATATGGCGAGCAGTTCGTCTTCTTCTGCCCGCGAATCAGAACTTCAGAAGGAAGTGAAACGGCATGATGTTACGCTAGATGAACTGAGCTGTCTCTCTTCTTCTCGGAGTGTCTATCAGAAAAACGGAAACCTCTTCTTCCTCACAACTGCCAAGAAAGTGAAAATCGATGCCGAGAAACAACTAGACCACGCTAAATCTGAACTCGCTAAGATTCGTTTGCAGACACGATCAACACGGTGACTTCTCGATACAAAGCCTTGCCTCTTTCTTTTTCTTATTCTTGTGTATTGTAACTATTGCGTCAACTGATTGATGTTATTCTCAGATGATTGATGCTAATATCAACTTTCACTATAGTTTTCTTTCGAGGGTTATTATATATTATGGCTCGTAAATCAGGATTAATTGCAATTTAAGCTTAACAAATTCATAACTATAGAAGAATCCTACCAAGTCTTCAAGCCATGCTTGCATACTGGGAGATCAAAGTTGAATCATAATCATAATAATATACAGTTAAGTATTTGCTTTGCCTTAGAATTAGCATACAGAAAATGTCATTGTTAACTTGACAAGGGCTTGTAATTTTCAGTAAATAGCCAGTCAGATTCAGGAGGAAATACAAATCAACCAGAAAGTATCACATTAAATAATCTAAGCGTTTTTCTCTGCAAGCCTAGATGATATCAGTAAACTCAAAAGTGCAAAGGAACAAGAGACACAATGAATTTGTTGAAACACACATAAAAAGGTCAACAGCCGTTACAACCATTAACGGATCCTAATCATATGGTTTTACAAGCGGCATTATCATTCACCTTGGCAAACCATTTCCTCATTTCATCATGTACCTATTCATAAATAAAACAACTCCTTAATTTTGGTTGAAAAAAGAGTTTGAAAAGTATGAATTGAAAGGAGTCGAGCAAGCTAATTTAAGATATTGAAAAAGAGTCTAAAAATTATGAATTGAATTAATGGGCCTTTTCGGCCATACTAAAAACTGTTGGGCCTATAATTTTATGTGCAGAAGGACCGTCCGAATGAAAATACTTGAGGACGAAGAATGACCGTCCGATTTGAACATATATTCGTTACTTATTTAAAGATCCAAACAATACATAAATGTGGAAGCACTGTAGCCTAGTGGTTAAGGTTTAAAGGCTTCTATACTAGGTCTGGGGTTCGAATCCCAGGCTACGCAGTTTCTACACCAGGAGGGTTTCAATTCCTGGAGAATGTGCGCTGAAACCCCGGAGAATGTGCGCATAAGAGACGGCTCAAGGTGAAGGTGATGTAGTCAGACGTGAATCCGCATAAGGTAGGTAAAAAAAACCAACAAGAGGAAATATCTTCACTTCCTTTTTAAAAAAAGGTTTTCTCCCAAAATTTCTTTGACAATTTTAAAATTGTGAATTTTTTTTTCGATTTCTTCGTGAACTTGACGCAATCGATTGAGTTTATTCCTCTTTTTATGATTTTATTACTGGGTTTCAGATCCTCTGTCACATCGCTACATCGTCAACTCGTTTTGGTTAAGGGTTTCATCCGATCGATTAGGTTTTTGTCTTTTTTTTTTCTTTTAGGGTTTTAAATCCTTGTCACATCTGTTTAACTTAGTTTCTAGGATTTCATGTTTTATTAGCGGTTCATTATTTTGATTTATTGTAGTGATCTAGAACCAATCTGGAAGCGCTTGACTATACATGAAACCGTCGTTAAGGTACGTCTCTGTCTATAACAGATTGTATTTGTTCTTTTATCTCTGAGTATGGAATTGAACGACGACAAACATATCTTGTTCTTGCTTTAGCTTTGGTCTACTTGATGTTATCTAGATATCTATATTATATATACATTGATTATATAAGGCGAACATAGTAGATTCTTATATACCATTGTTGAATGCTTAGATCAAGACAGAATTTTGTTTTGAGTTCTAAGATTATTCTTTTAGCTATTTTCACCATTCAAATAATAAAATTTCTCACTTTATATGTCTCTGTTTTTGTTTTCCTGTTTTTACAGTGTATTTGTGTGGAGAAAGTCAATGTTGCCAGATTCCATTACATCCATAACTCTTAACAGAATCACTGAGACAATTAAAGTAAGTTGTATCTCTCTCTTTAGCTACTACCGCTTGAAATAATATTGCAAACTCAAGATATTAGGTAGACACTCTTGTGCTCTACCGATTCATACATTTGTTTTAGTTTTATCATAACCCCATAAAAAGATCATAGGGCAGACACTGATCTAATAGTGTTTTGCTAGACTCTTATTTGAAGACATTGTCCCGTCGGTTGATAGTGCATGTCTTTGAGGATGGAACTTTAGTACCCACCGCTTATTACAAAAATGACCAATGGCTCAACAATAGTCTTTGCCTAAAGACTGTAAATTTGTTGGATGGATTTAATGATCAACGGTTTACAATAAAGTCTTTATACAAAGACTATGTTGGATGGATAAAATGACCAAAAGCTTACAAATCTCTATAAGAAAAGGTTACGGATATGTTGGATGGATAAAACGATCAACAATAAACAAAATGTTTTTAGACAAAGATTATGGGACTCTAAAAGGATAAAAGGGATGAAGAGCTTAAAGAGGTCTTTGAGGCAATGATTCTGATACCATGGGCTTAGAAACAGTCATAAGACAATGACTAAATTGGTTTTGAACTAAAAAGGTCTTTGAGGCAATGATTGTGATACCTTCTGCTTAGAAACATTGGTTTTGAACTAAAAAGGTCTTTTGGCAATGATTGTGATAAACGTCATAAGACAATGACAATCGATTTTGAACTAAAAAGGTCTTTGAGGCAATGGTTTTGATACCCTTGGCTTAGAAACAGTCATAAGACAATGACTGAATCCGTTTTGAACTAAAAAGGTCTTTGAGGCAAGGATTGTGACACCCTCGGCTTAGAAACAGTCAAAAGACAATGACTAGATGATTGTGATACCCTCGGCTTAGAAAAAGTCATGAGACAATGACTGAATTGGTCTTGAACTTGTTGGATGAAAAATAATGACCACTACTTATGAAGAGTCATTGGATAATATTGGTACCCACGGTTTATGAAAAGTAAGTCTTTAAACAAGCCCGCTAATCTAAAATGGTTTCATTGCTTAGCTACCCACAGCTTTATGAAGAGTCACTGGATAACATTGCCACCAAAAAGTCTTTAGACAAATTCTGCAAACTGATATCCGGTTCATTGGCTTTACGAAGAGTCTTTAGACAAAGACTTGATCTGGACATTGTTACGACCCACGGCTTTATGAATTTTAGAGATGGAAAGTAAGACATATTTTAGTACCCATGGCTTTCAAAAAAAGTCCTGAGACAAATACTGAATTTGTTTGATGGATAAAAACGACCAATGGCTTACAATATTTGGATGTATAAAACGACCACAAGGCTTGCAAAACGTCTTTTAGACAAAAGCTGTGAACCTGTTGGATGGGATAAAATGACCAACGGTTTTGTAACGACCCGGATTTCTATGAGCTGGTTTGATTTCTTCTTGTTGTATTATTGTTTTAAATTAAACCAAACCATTTGCAACACCATATTAAGCCAATTTATATTTCTAGCCCTAACCGTGTATTATGTACACGTATATATATATATATATTATTTTCCGCAAAAGGGTCAGCCACCATTTTAATTGATCAGCTCGTGAGGGAGTCATGCCGTCAATCATCTATCACAATCTTCATCACCATGTTTATTGTCCCTCTCCCTTCCATGTCTCTTGCTCATCACACGTGTCTCTTCTCTTCTTCACATATGTGTATCGGAGAAGACACAAGACGTAATCACCGTTCACCACCACCGTTGTTCATTCTGGAGGAGTAGCTGCTTTCCATGAACCATCACCACTGGAGTTGAAGATTCGTGATCAGAAACGTTGTTGTCTCCTTGTTACCGGTGGCGTTTTACTAGGCGTGATGAGAGACAAGCAAACCGGAGCCTCCGTGTTCACCATCACCTACCATCAACACACACCGACGTGATCTCTTGGTCTTAGGAGATAAGACGTATTGTTTGGAGGGCCATCAGTTCAGCTTCATGACGTTACGTACGAGATTGGTAATGTAGAGACGTGATCCAATACGAGAAGGTTTAGTGGGTTATAATGGTTTCTTGTGCGGCAAGTTTATTAAACCCTAGAGTATTAATGTTTTAACCATGTCTTATTCTGGTTCCGATCTGGTTTGTTGCTGGCGAGATGGAGATCCATGGCGAAACCTTAGCTTTCTTGGCTATCAAGTAATCTTATTTATGTCTGATTCGTTTATGGTTCTCCGATGTCGGCTAAGGTGAGGGCTATTCCATTTAAATCCCGCGCTAGTTTACTACTATTATTATGAAAATTTTAGTTTCGAAACATGATCCGTCTCTGTGAATCGAGTCTGTTTGAGAGTCTTGTTTTGTTATTTATTATTATTGATTGCTAAACCGGACATAGGATAATAGAGGATTCAACGGTTGTGTGACATGATTGATGTTAAGAATTGCTATATATATATGTAACTATATACGAGTCCATGTGTGAGAGATTTCGGGGGTGCAGAGACGTCTGTTCTAGCGACGTCTTGTTTGTGGAGATTGCGGGGGCACATAGACGTCTGTGCTAGCGCCGCCTTGTGTGGAGATTGCGGGGTACAGAGACGTTTGTACTAGCGCGCCGTAGAGATTGCGGGGGTACGGAGTGCACTACCGTACTAGCGACGCCTGTAGGTTATATACATATATCCGTATGAGGAGAATGCGGGGTGCAAAGAATAGCTATGTACTATCATCGCATTGATTGTTGTCGTATGGTGCTCTAGGCATATGATTGTTCTGTGACGTGTAATAGACACCGTGATTGTCTCATGCTAGAGCTAGGCCTACATAGTCGTAGTGCTATGTACTGGTCAGTGGTTTGTGGTTAGCATCCCATACCTCACTGAGTGACTCCCCTGTTGCTCACTCCTCTTTGTTCTTGTTGCAAGTGATCATGTCGAGTAATTTGAGATCTGGACGGTTTAGTGTCTTTGGGATGAAAAATATTTTCTTTCGATTTTCCGTTTGATTTATTTCACATATTTTTATAATTTAATTTAAAGTTGTATTTTTTTGGATTTTATTTTAAATAAATGTTTCAATATTTTATTCGCTTTTGAATAACTCGGTTTAATTCGGTATTTTACCGATAGTAGCATGCCGTTCTCGAGAGAGGAAGAGACGGGTGTTACAATTTGGTATCAGAGCGGGTTCCGTCCCTGCTCTGACCGGGGACGGCGATTTATGGGACTTGTATTTTAGCGATTTTCAATGTTTCGGGATTGAGAGTTTTTTTTAAAAAGAAAATGACACCGTCCTGTCCAGTATCATTCAATTAATAGTTAGCATTTCTAAT